CTCTTTTTTACAGTCGATTACGACGAAATACTTTCAGCATTATCAGCCAAAGATCCATATCCATACGGTAATAACATGATCAAAGAAGTTATGTAAAACCATCTACTCAATAATTACAACTGCTCTTTTCATCTTCTAGAACCTAATTCGTTCTTGAAAAAATTAAGAGGCACCTGCGGATTAAAGAAGAATACCCAACTGAAAATTGTAAACGGTCGAGAATCTGAACCACATTCGTGGCCGTGGATTGTAAATGCATTGAGCTCTATATAACAATAATGATCACGTGAAAATTTTATTGTAGTAAATAAGATTGATAAGGATGGATTCAGTTATCAGTTTCTAGGTTATATAGTATTTTTTTAATAGTTAATCCACATTTTAACATTTCAATGATGTCGCCTCGTTTGAGTTATCTCATTTCGTTCATTCAATTCGTCTGTGTGTTGGTAGAAATTTAAATTTTAAATTTAAATTTAAAATTTAAATTTTCCCAGTTTGTTAAAATAAGTGAGGTACCATATTGCTGTTTTTAAGGAGAATAGCTCACACCATGGTGTAAGCTATGCTGAGAATTGGGGATAATTGCTTCTCCTATCGAGATCACGTCGAAAATTCGATCCTGGATTTTTGAACAATTTTTCGAGAGGTTCGGTGGGAATTGAGTGCTAACACTAAGAACAGTGCGTTAATGCTTGACGTTCAAAGTTATCTCTCCTCATAAAAGACTGAGTGAATAGGTAACTAGGTGTTGCAATTCCTCACCGATTATTGTATCCTATAAACAGTAGTCTAATTATAAGTGCAAAACATTGCTTTCCCTCACAGGTATACTCAAAATGCGTTGAGCATCGAGTTATCTTAAGCCCTATATATAAAATGGTTTTAGTTTTTAGTAACGTCGCTGCTTGGGATTTATTTCATCAAAGGCCCTTTTATTAGCTATCTTCGCATAACCTTACGCGGTATCACCTTCTACAAATTGACTTTTATTTTCAGGTTGGTTTGTACAGAGCGCGCCTAGTTCAAGAAAACAAGACCATAAAAGTGGGTATGCAACCACTTCCATTCTGCGGGGCCTCCTTAATCTCACCACGGTATCTCATTACGGCGTCACATTGTGTTAAGAATTTGAGTCTGATTGGAAACACGGAACCCAAACACAAGTGGCTCCGACCGGAACACTACTTATCCTATAGCATTGTGGCAAAATTAGGTGATCATAGCACTCTCCATGAGGAAGAATCCACGGAGGAAATTTTGGTTCAAGAGGTGATGCATTTCCATCAAGGGGTATTCATGTTGGTCAATGACATCAGTATAGTAAAACTATCCAGGCCGATAACTTTCAGTAAGTATAATTAGCAGTTAAACATTAACAAATACTGATTGCTTTTTTATACCAGGCTCAATGCGTTAATAGATTTTTTGTTTTAAGAGAAATCATCTGAATATGAAATCAACAGGTGATTTCATTAGTTGAAGGCAGTTACTATGTAGCATCAAGATTATTATTATTATTACTTTGAATTTTAAATGTATTGTCTTATCTACTGTCTGTTAATGAGCGCACTTCAAAAATTATAGTCTGCTAGATTTCGAATATTGCAATGAGCTCCTCAGATCTTTAAATTAAATGAGATAAACGGAGAACAAAATGTAAAGGAAAAAAGGCTTTCTGGATGGAGTACAGATAATGGCCAATCATCATTCAAAAAGATAACCATAGCGATTGACATTCTTTGAACTTCTCTCATCAAAACTACATCAATACTACATTGCAAACAAAGATGTTCCAAATGCCGTTTCATTTAGCCACAATATCATAATTCCAGAAGGATATTCTCTAGTTTCACATGGGTTTCTTTGTAAAAGGGACATACTGATTTTTCCACCAAACTTGCATCAATGATATAACTTTAATTGGGCCCATTTTCGACTAAATTAGCTTAAAACTGCTGGAGATCTATTCACAATTCAGTTTTTTACTTTTGAAAACCTTGACTTGGAGGTAAAGGGTCTGCAAAACAGAGGAATGTAGATTCACTGGCTTCCTAAATAGCATTTACACTCCATGGTTTCTATTTAACTACCGCTGTGCCAAGGATGAATCCTAGTAGACGTTTTCCTTAATGAGAAAAAAACTTGTATTTTATCTAGAAGATAGTGTTCCTTGTTTTGTTATGACTTTCTTAGATAGAGCCATCAAACCGGTTTGTATTCCACCTTCAACATACGAATTGCCCGCCGGAGCGAAATGTACGGCTGTTGGTTGGGGATACACCGATAAAAACAAGCCTTCAGGCTCGCCAGTACTGAGGGAGAATGAGCTGCCTATCATGTCATTGGAAGTATGTCGTGGATTCAGTCAACTGGTTGGTGATGGCCACATTTGCGCCGGTGGAGCCCATAATGTATTCGTACTTTCTTTACAATTTTGTCATCAGTTTGTGGGAATTTATAAGAAATATCTTTGTTAAATAGTAATTAGAAATTGTTAACTTATCAATATCTTGTGGATACTATAAAACAGCTCATACACCACCCACGCAAACCTTGCCATCAATGACCCTCTTTGGCAATATCCACTTGTTAGTACCCAATAGGAGATTGACGTCCCAGTACATGATCAAGATCTCTCATTTTTTAATTATAAATTATTCAATGCTTGTTTAGAAAGGATGGATTTTCAGACCATAAGTTGGCAAGGAAACGCATCATTGCCAGGTTCGATCAACGAAAAACAATGGGCAATATGAAGACTATTTGTATGAGTTTTGTTCATTGCACTAGAAATAATGAAAAATCGAAAGTGGAAATATTTTTTCTAGAAAATTCTATGTGTATTTGAAGTATATCGTTGTTGGTTTATCTCGTGATCGTAGCAACGATTGAAATTGGGCTTGCAGATTCTAGCACAATGAAGAAATTCCTAATTGTGATTTTATGATGGCGTTCTAAATATTCGAATTTCTATTTCATCTTCCACGTGTAACGCTTGGCTTCATGATTAAATTGGTGAAAATAGTGGCCATCACCTTGCCTAGAGGAAGGTTGAATTGGTGTCAATTGTATTTAAATCAAATGTGTAAGTGCATTGGTTATGTGGTTGATATATTCGATGGAAAATTGTTGAGAGCATTTTTGTGTTATTTTTTCACTGAATTCGCTTCAGGCTTTTACTTTTTTATTTTCTTTTTTTTAGACTGGTGGTAAGGGCGACAGTGGTGGCGGATTGTATTGCAGATTATCGCCGGATAATGATCAGTGGTACCTTTTTGGGGTAACCAGTATTGGTTTACCAACACCCGGCCCAACCGTCTTCGCTTCAGTTCCACCTCTCTCTAATTGGATTCATAAAAACGTCGATGAATGAGAATTTGATACGTTCTTAGAGGGGGAGGGGGGGGACTCCCTTTAAACAAATTGTATTCTTCTCTTGTGAAGGGTGGTGGTGGTGGTGGTGTTGTTGATGAAGACATAAAATGATATATTGTAATTTTATCAGTGTCATATGAAAGTGCGAATAACAGCTTCTTTCAAATACAATTTGCTTGCTACTGCTGATTACTTGTTGCCAAGTGGGATTCTTCTGTTGGAAAACCATGAAACCCCGACTTCAAATAGATTGTAATGTGTTAGAAAAACGGACGTATTATTAATTCGAAAGAGACTGTATGCAATCTTATCCATGTAATCTCCTCAAGAATGTTGTTTTAAAGATTAGAACACCACCAAATCGATAGAGATTTGTGGCTAGAAAAACCATCAAGTTGCCATGGACCTGTATGCTCCACCCGAGCGAATAGTCTATTCTATAACAAAATAAAAAAATCTCTGAATCTAATCTTTTTATGGTTGATGTCAGTTAATAAGTGTTGTTACTTAAAATTGATCAATCTTTGTTTCTACCTCCGACTAATTTGATTTGTATGAGCACTGTTGCAGGAAAGTTTTCACCATTTTCCTGTTATTTGCCCTTTTCAAGCGCATTTTCAACAAAATAAATTTTTCATAAATTTGAATTACTTGCGACCTTATGCTTCATCAATATCCCAAAATTGCCAACTTAGGTTATGACAAAGAAAACCGTTTTTCTGATATTATTAAATATGTAGAAAGCCCTGACTGACTCAGAAATCTCTATAGCAGATTCTCCTATATCTAGCTAGACTCCCAGAACTAGCTAAGCAACAGCCCAGATATAGAAGAAGCAGACGCGATGCAAGGGACACGTGTACCCAGGAAGTACATTGTGGCAAAAGTGTACACGCCGTAAGATTAGTCATAATCAACATGGCGAATCCGCTTAAGCAAACGAAGGCTTCTGATTGGCCATTGGTTGTGCGCGCATGCGATCACGCGTTAGGCGATGACGTATTCCACAAATGTTCATCGAGCATAGAAAATATGCGAATGTTTCATATAAGTGGCATATTTGAAGAGCAACCTCAATTTTTCATTTTTTTGTAAATAAAACTTAATGCAATTCTTGACAGAATGTGACTTAATGTCATGGAAGAACTCGTAAACATTGCCTATCTTTGCTTAATTAAAACCTAAAAATAGGCTCGCCCACCATATCGATTGGGAAAGCACCTTGAGTTTGAGATATTTTTCGCCACCAG